AAGCAAGCTCCTTTAGGTAATTGTGTCTACTTAAATTGCTGGAGCCTAATGACATGATTAGCCTTGCTTGTTTAGGCTAAAGAACTTGGATCAATGATTTTCAATGAAAATAAGAACTACCATTTTAATGTGCGCACTTTATTTAGGCACAATTATGATAATACTTATCCATGCTGAGGGTTAGGAACCGAAAACAAGCATTTATAATGAAAAAATGTGACTCATAACAAGCATTTCCATTTTACTTATAAAAAAGCATGTTCTGATTTTGAAACATTAAGCAAGCATGGTACTCTACATCATTTGGCTCGTCATGATTGTTCAGGTTATGAACCTGAGTAGGGGCCATTTGAATTTGGAAAACGTTTATAGAAGGATGCTACCTTAAAATGTAGAACTACGGATGCCCCTCAAAAATCCATCGGAAAAGGTAGTTTTAATGTTGAAAAGCCCTTTTCTTGATCATCTCGACATCGAGATGTATGACTATGAAAAATAAAAAGATTTTAAGTCTAAAAAATAGTGCATTTTACAACATATTATCTACGCCGTCCATTTTCAAGATTTTTATATGTTTATAGATTTGCTTAATTTTAACCATTTTTGAAATTTAAAATTTTATAATTAGATATAAAAATAGATTTTGAGATAATACTACAAACATTTTACATCAAAATTATATACCATGATAAAATTTGAAAGTGCACCTTACTTCTACATCTTCGAATGCATCCGTATGCAAACTGCACCCTTTGAATTTTCCAAATGATACTTCTTAAAAGATACCTCGATAAAATTAATCTTGAAAAGTAGCAAATCTATTATTAGATTGGATATCATCTCAACAATTTAACCATCCTCTTCTAAATAATTAAAGGAGAATATCTTCATGAATATGTATCCTGGCCTCAGTATACAAAATTGCAGCTTTTGTTCTCTGCAAGTAAATAAGGTTGCGGTTTATATGGAGCCGAGGCTCTAAACAATCAAAGCACAACGCACCTTCAAATAGTGTCGAGAAATATGGTTTCAATACTGGAAATCTTCTTAATAGCCTTAAAATATATTTTAATCTCTAATTATAAAATTTAAAGCTTTAAAAATAGTTTAAATCAAGTAGATCTATGAAAACTTGAAAATCTTGAAAATTGATGGTCTAAAAATGCATTACAAGATGCACTATTTCCAAACCTTGAAATCCATTTTATTCTTATGTCCATGCAACTTGATGTCGAGATGATCAATTTGATGATATTTGGGCATCAAACCAACCTCTTCTAATAAAATTATTGAAATGCGCTTTAATTTTGGATTCTTTAGAGCCTCAGCTCTATATAAACTTTTTCCAATAAGATAAATAGTGCAGATTCCAGACCAATTTCCGTGAGAGAATCTAATTACCAATCTATAACAATCTCAATCCCAAAGCACCTGATAAGATGATGAAGGATACAATTAAAGTCAAAAGACCTAAGCATAGGACAAATAATAATTCAAATTTAGATGTCACCTTCATTATATTAAATTGGATATAAAACTATTAAATAGAGAGTTTACTGTTCTAAGATAGTGCCTTATTGATAGGCCCAATTGGTGGTGCGCTTTTCTGGACGAGGTGCAACGGGTGTGCAGTTTAGAGAGAGAGAGAGAGAGAGTATCAAGATTAATCACATTGTAATAGAAAAATGGATTGATTAGTGGTAGTAGCTCAAGTTTCCATGCTGGTTCATGTCACGTGTGATGCATCCATTAAGAGAGTTAAAGATTGGGGCATATACACAATGAGACTACTTGCCATTGCTACAAAAATTGCTAAAAAATGTATACGATGTGATCATTTGTCCTTGCTAAGAAAATTAATTAAAAACACCCTAATCCTAAGCAATGAGACGCAAAATTTGGCACACATTAGGGCTGAGAATTTACCAGATTCAGATCTAAAACTCGAAATTTGGATCTTATTCGGATGTCGGTATCACTCCAATATATGGATCTGGATCCAAATTTTAGATATGAATGGCATATTCGGATCGGATATGATGACAAGTGGATCTGATCCAAATCCAACTCAATTTTTGAAATAGTGTATATTAATTTATATATATAGTTATATATTTATTATTGTATATGTATAATATATGTACTTTTTAAAAAATTTAGAAGACCTAATATAGATCCCATGGATCTGGATCCAGATTAGGATCCGAACATTCTAGATCTCATCGGATCTAGATTTCGATCCATGTATACCATTCAAATCCGGATTTGGTTGCATCCGGACCTGATCCGAAAAATACTCAGCCCTAGTGTTCATGCCTTTTCTCCATTGTTATGGAACTGTCATTAAATCAATTATTTAGTTAACGGTCTGGTCTAGTAAACAATGGGTTTGAGGATCACTCGAATTTTGTTGGACCAACTTTTAAAAACAAAAAAAATGTGAATAATTTTGAAAAATAAAACAAATGAAGTTGTTCGAATTTATTTGGTTGGTCGAATAAATTGATATTTTCATTAGTTAAAGTTAGTCGAACATTGATTTTGAATGATTTTATATCAAACTCGATTTTGTATTTGGACCAAACTAGCTACTATATTGGTCGACTGTTCAACTGATTGAACTAGCTAGTTTGGTTTGATTTTAAAAATAGCAATCCGCAAAATATCGGACATGTTTTCTTAAGCTTCAAATAATGAAAAACCTTCCGCGCCAACTAATTTCACATCCAATGGCTAAGCATGATGTTAGCCTGTTGTGAACATTTTATATTTTCCCTTGTAAGTTAATGGTATGTTTGATGAGGGATCAATTAATATGAGGGCAGTTTATCAAAATACCAAGAGAGATAAACTATTTAGCATTTGACCCATTCGCAATTATTGCCATGCATGATCATGTATTTTGTGATGGATATTTTGCAGATAGACACGGTTTCTATGAGTTAATGTAAAAATGAGTCACCTCTTAAAAATCCATTTTCAAGACGGATTTTTGGACCTAATTTTTAAGGACATGTAAGCTCTAACATGGAGATCATGAATATGAAGAAATAAATAAAATTCAAAAATTAGAAATAATAATTCTACAATAAACCATTTGGACAGCTAGTTTCAATTGTTTTTAAATGGACCACCTATTTGCAATATTTAAGATATATACTTTATACCTCGGGGACCGCAAATGTAGAAATGCGGTCCCCCCGCATGAAACAATTTTGTTTTACAAATTGAATCAAAAGACATAACACTGAAATGTTTAATATTCACGCTGTGGTTTTCATTCCCACTCAAAGGACATGGATGAATGTTAAATAACTCATCTTTCATGAGCATTTAGATAGGAATTTCCCTACCTAGTTTTTAGAGTAAGAGGTCCTAGTGTTTACAAGAGAGGAAGAAAAGGGGGAGATTTACTAGAGAGTAATCGGATTTTAGAGACATTAGAAAGATTGGTGAGAAGATATATTTTAGAGGGTGTATAAAAATGCTCATGCGGGAGCATACAATTCAATAACTCCCACAGGAAAAATGGTTACTTGGGAGATGTTTTTAGATACAAATTTTTTTATCCATCTAAGTAACACTAGGTGATTATTTTCTAGAAAAAGGTTGGATTTTTAGATTCTTGAATATCAATATCACGCTCTCTAGAAATTGGATAGTTCCTATTCAATCTTGGAATTTGTCAAAAAAATTTAGGCACATAGAAGAGTGTGAGTTAGTTTTTCATCTTAAGATTAGTCATTGGGTTTTAGAGATTGAATCTCCACTATTTGGTATCCAAAAGATATCACTAACATGAGTATTTTCCAAAGGAGCAAATGGACAATATGCTCCTGCAGGAGCATAAATCATGAACTAGTTGGATTACGTGCATTACATGTATATATGAAATAAGTGATCATGTAACAGTTTCTCTTTCATTTTTATCTCCCTCTCTCTCCATGTATTTTAAGGTGCTGATTCAACAACAGACTTAATGAGAGTAGGTTCATTTAAAAGTTCTATATAATGCATCAATACCGATTCCAAGCTCGTTTGTTTGCCTTCTAAAAGGCAATAAAACATGCATTCAATTTGGAAATTCCACCCATGTTTATAATATAAAGAATGATCATTCCAATTTCCAATTTTTCATATCAACTTACTGTGTCATTTAGCCATTACTCTCTATATTGGATTTGAAAATAACGATAGAATGCACCAAAATCTTCAAAGTTGCAATACCCTCTTAGCCATTAAGAAGTAAGAACACATACACTCCAATATGATCTCAGCTAACACTCATAATCAAATCATAGACTTAGCACTACCCTTAATTCAAACATAGTTTGGATCTACTTCACAATATGGAAGACGGATCAGAGCACATAGTGAGGAACAATGGATTAGAGCATATACTGTGAAATATTCTCTCTTTCTATTCTTGATCTGCAATTATTTGTCGGAACTAGGAAGTTACATTGTCTGGGGCAATACTTCGTCGGGTCATTTTCTCTTTTACTTAACATAAAATTGATTTCACTACAATGTTTGAGAAATCGCCAATGTAATTCAGAATCGGCCATAGTGAGGTCAGGAGATGGGTGGTTTTAGGTTAAGGAACCCTGGAATTGTTCCATATCTTCCGACTTTCCTCCTTTATATATTTATTATCTTTATGCATTGAGTCTGTATCAGGTTTGACAATCGGACTAGGATTTTCGAAGGATCAAGTCTGACCATGGTTCCTGTTTTCAAAACACTCGTTTTAAAGTACGCACCCACAAGAGAGAGAGAGAGAGAGAGAGAGTTGATATTAAACATGACCATAAATTATGGGTATCTTCAGTTTTTTTTCCCTCACCTCTGGTACCGAATGATGTCCCAGAAAATGCTTTAACATTTGAAAAAATTCAGTTTTTAATCTCGTATTGGCGCTTAGACTATGTTCTTATTTGAAAACATCTTCCATATTCTTGAAAACATCTTACATGAATATGGTGTAGAAACTCCATCAATGACAAAAAATAGTACTTTTTCTAAAGTCATCTCACTAGCAAAGAGGATACAAAATTTTGTGAAAATCATTCATCGCCAGCCCTAGCATTACAAAACATCAAGAGCTTGTGAATTTACGCCCTGTAAGCTTGTCTGATTCATAAGGGATATGATTGATTAGGCCACTCGCCGTGCTGCACAGACCAACCACACACCTATCAGACCACAAATCTCTCTCTCTCTCTCTCTCTCTCTCTCTCTCCAACTTACTCATCCTTCATCTTTTAGATCTTCTCTGGATCAGTCTTGTGCATATTTTTCTTGAACTGCTGCCTCACCATATTGACAACAGGCTCTGGATTGTGTTGCCGCAACAACAAACCTCATTCAATTTCCTGCATGAAGTTAGTGTACCCATATCTAATCCATCAACAACTAAACTTACTGAACACACACATTCAGATTAGTAGTCATTTTCTGCTTTTCTTTCTGGAATATACATATCTACTTTAGCTGGGTATCCCATATATATACTAGAGAATTCACTAAAAATAGTGATACACACAAAAACTTCATTTTCAAGCCATTTGCATGTTTTTATTTACTTCACATGAAGAACACAAAGATCACAAAACAAAACCAACAAAACATACGGAACACTCAAGTCGTGCGCTGGGTAGTGTGCATGCTTATTGTCTGTCATGGTGAGGGTTTGAATCCCTCCATTATCATTAACCGGATATACAATATATACTTTCCTTTCACACAACAAATCTCACACATGCCTAGAAACCGCCAGAACGAGTCCACAAATTCTAGCATCATGGGCATATGAAGTCTCTCATGCACCCCATTACCCACATACTTCAAGGAGAAGGAAATGGGATTAGTCTTGAAGAGGAAAAACAAAATTTCTAGCATGCAGTGAACTAATCTATAGATAACAAGGTCCTGTTAGCCACTTGATCAAGGAGAAAGTTTCGTCAAGCACATGAAAAATAAACATTACCAATTGAGACGCATGGGAAATGCAACTAGGAAATATAGATGACTAGCCAGGAGTTAACACTCCCCCTCATGAAAAGGGCCATAGTAATGGAAAAGGGGTAGCCATAACGAGAAATTTCTGATGTATAATTTTTAATTTATTTTTGTGTAAGAAGAAAAACTAATAGCTAGAAAATCCTTTGCGTTTTCCTGAGATAACCAGCAAAAGGAATTTGAAGCAATTTTGTGTTATTTAAACTCAAAACAGATTGGATACTTGCAGTTTACACAATCACTAATCCAGAATGTGAGGATGTGTGCCAGTTTAGGTGATCCCCATAACCAGCACCTAAAAATAAATTGAAAATCTCCCCCTCTTTGAAAGGTGTGGATGTGTGGAATTCGAGACTATAAAACAAAAATAAAATTATTAATTTTCTTTATTATTAAATCCGAATTCCATGTACAAGTGTTACAATATACTGCTGTAAACAAAAAATAAAACCCTAAATATAACCCAAAACCTTTCTTTTTACCACCAAAAACCAAACTTCTATGTATCAATTTAAGTACAAATAATGTTCCAGAAAAATCAGAATAACCAAGCAGCTAAGACTAAAAAATAACTAAATAGCTGGAAAGACTTACTGGATTATGCTCAAGGTCAACCTCATAGGACTTAGTACACCCCACACTCGATTTTCTGACGAATAGCACACTTCGATCCTGATGGTCTTGCTGAATTTTCAAAGCCGAGAAGCTTCTATAAGCAATACTTCATAAACTAGGGTTTTAGAGAGCATAAAAGACAATTAGGATTTGGTTAGAACTCCTTAGGAACATATTAGGGCATGCCTCAAAGGCACCTCCCTTTCTAGGCTAGGTGCCCCTCTCTACAATGTAACCTTATTAGGGTTCGCATGCTACCCCCTTTAAATTTATTATAGGGTGGCATGCCACCTAGAGAGAGAGGGAGGAGAGAGATAATAACTAGAGATGTTAGAGAGAGAATTTGGGGCGTGGAGGAGAGAAAGGAGACAGAGGCTCCAATTGTGTCTTATGAGGAGGGGGGCTCACCTCCTTATACAAGTCTCAAGACCCCCTAGGTAATGCCTATTTAATGATTAACCTTGATCAACTAGGAATTTAGGAAATCTGTGAGGTGAGAGAAAAACTTTGAGCAATCTATCCCACAAATCAGCCATTATAATTTAGGGAGGCATACCCAAATCCATTTCTAGTCTAATTAGGATAAAACCAATTTAAACACCTAGAACTTCGTTATTTGTCAGTAATGGTGGAAAGTCAAACTAATATTTTTGGTCACTCCTACCAAAAAAAAAAAGGTCACATATTACATTTAAAAGATGGGATTGCATACAATGAGACCATTTACCTTTGGTATAGGGAGGTCACAATTACTTACAACCATCCTATGTGAAATCTGATAGCTTGAGTGTGTCACAAAGTTCGAGAAAATTTCTTTTAAACTTTGAGCTTGGTCAACGAAATAAATGTCGCCACCTCATTTTACATCCAATGATCAAGATTAATAGTGACCACCTTGTACAAAAGGTAAATGTACAAGAGATGATTGCATAATGCACTATAAATGAATCAAATTTGGTCAGTTACACTCACACTCCCACTAAATTGCATAATGCACTATAAATGATATATATAAGCTCTCACGGCCTTTAAAAGCCACAAACCCCAACACTCTTATTTCCCTATTAACCTAATTTATTTTGTTGCGTTCAAGAAAGCCCATTTCCATTAGGGCATGAACAAGAAAATAGAGACGATGATAGCATTTCATGCCACTACAAACACAAAAACAGATACAGTATCAACTATGGAGAGTATTCAAGCTATAGGTAAGTCCCTGGGGCTTGGTTTGGTTAAACACCAAAATGAAGTAATTTCTTAATGATATTCCTTTCCTTATTCAAAGTTTTCTCCATGGAAGCATTGTTTGCATTCTTGTGATAACCATAACTGTGTACTGTAATTCTTTGTCTAACAACTCAGCCACATAAGATAACGATAGAGATCCAATGGAAAATGCCAAGAAAAAAATCAGCATCAAAACTTTGTAAAAATAATCCAAACATTAACACAGTTAAAATTTTTGGAGAAATTGAAGCATCTATGTTTTCAAGATATTGTTTGGAAAGTTGAGCCGAGTTGAGTTGACTTGCTTCAGTCGATTCCACTCAGATTCTAGAGTCAAACTAGTAGTAAGCTTCTGTTATATGGTAATGTCAAACATTGATCCCTACGTTACATGAGAATTTTAGAAAACTTCCTGGGTATCAGCTCTCTCAAATGAGTTGTGTCAAAAACTTTAAAAAAATATTCTATAACGGGAAACTAGAAACTGAAAATTCCAATGTTTTCCTCACAAGTGGCTGAAAATTTCAAGTTATGATTGCTTGGACATATATGATACAATGTAGGAAGGACATAAACATGCATATCTGTCTGAAATGAACACACTTTCTCAGGGATACGATGTACCAAGGATATAAACATGCATATGAACACACTTTCTCTCCCCATTTGAATTCATATCCCTTTAATCAAAGTCAGGCAAGAATACAAAGGCTCAATGCCTGGAAGCTGGCCTCGTGAAGTTATAAGAGAAAATTTTAGTGGCCAAGATTGCAATAAAGTGGGGAATACCTGATGCTAATAACCAACAAATGGCCTAAGAGCTCAAGGAAAGAAAGGTTCCTTATTTCCTAAAATTCAAATACTCTCGACAAGTCTTTAAATTCTTAATGTATATATGTCAGTGCTATCATGGAATGTCCATGGTTTCAAAGGCCATGGCTGGTTATTGGATATTGGAGTACTCACAAATCAGAAAAATATTGGACTCTTATTTCTTCTAGAAAAGAAATTGCCTATTGAACTTACTGATGTGTGGGCACATAAACATCTACATTAACCGTTCAATCACATAAACATCTACATTAACCACCAAAAATCAATCACATAGACATCCACATTAACCACCAAAAATCAATCACACAGACATCTACATTAACCACCAAAACTCAATCACATAAACATCCACATTAACCACCAAAAAACAATCACATACCAATATCCATTGACTATTACTCTAAATACATATGGCCTTTCAAGATAGCAACGTATTCCCCCGAAATACAATTGTCTAAACAGTAGACTTAACAGCGACATAAGTTCATATTCCTGCTACTCCATTGACTTCATATCAAATTACAGAGAAAATAAACATAAAGCCTCATCTCAACAATTGTTAAAGAAAACCAAGCTTCCTAAATGTGGAAGCGGATGACATTTTAATTGCTGAATGCAAAAATATTTGTTCCCAATCACAATACTTCTGTAATTTGTATGTTACGAGAAATCAACAGACATAAATAAGAATATAGAGAACCAAATTGCCTAAGAGAACTCAACATGCCACAATGGAATTGCTTACATCCTATGAACAATACGGCCTATGATGTACTCATTTAAGCAACTGTTAATGGAGTGCCATTTTTGGTGGTATGACTTTTGATTCCACCATGTATTCAACCTTTGCCAATGGTAGCAATCCTATGGAGCAGTTAGTATTGCATTGAAAACCACTCATCTGTGAAACTTTCCCAATGGAATATGTAACTAATGAGATGGTTTTCCTCAACTTTTTGGTAGCTTGAATTTTTTCTTTTGTGCAATGTGGCTTAGGTTTAGTTGGAGGATTAGAATCAAATTTAGTTGGCTCTGTACATGTTCACCCACCATTTGGCAGCAGACTCTCTATAAGCTAATAGCTTGAGATACAAAGAAAATGATACAAACCTTTTCTTTTATCTTTTCTCAGACTAAATCCAATGTGAAATGGTTATAACTTTCACAAAACAACAAAACATGTCCGGCATAATTGACAGACCCTCGAGCAAGTAAAAAATAATTGAAAACGAGCAATATATAACGACACAATCAAAGAAAACATCATCCCAGAAAAAGAACCAAAACTCACAGAGATTGTAACTATTTAAGCATAAAAAAAAGAAATGAAAAAAGAATAGCAATACAAAAAGCCATACATGATGGTAGCATGACAACAAACAAGTAAAGTGAAGGCAATGAAATCGTACTGCATAATAGTTTATCAAATCCTACTGCATAATACAACCTCCTAAATAAGCTTTCATCAATAAACAAAAATAAAAAGAATGAAAGAATACTGGTTTTATGAATGCATAAAACCAAATGAAAATTAGTTCAATGACACACCACAAAAACAACATCATCAACGACAGCAACAATGATCAATTAATCAAACACCTAAAACCCAAAAAAAAATACATAATAGACACAAAATTAAATTAATCAAACTCTCGAGCCCCAAATAGTGCTTCTCAATAAACAGAAAACCCACATCAAAATTTGGGTATTTTCTTCTTTGTGCATAACCAGGAAAATAAAAAGGAAACAAAAAAAAAAAGGCTCTATGGAGACTTGGGGCTAATATTTTTTGAGCTTAATCAGGAAAAATCTCAGAAAAAAATCTCATTCGCATCTGCGATTATCTTTTGTGAGCTCTAAAAAATAAAAAAATTATAGAGGACTCACTGTAGCTTTCTCTGAGCTCTTAGCTTGCAGCAATGAAGGCGATGAGGGCACACTCACATCTGCGATTATCTTTTGGTTTCTCAAAGGATCAATGTTTACATTTATGTGAGTGTATTTCGAATCAATATGATTGGTGTTTTGGTTTCTCAAAAGATTAATTTTTACATTATGTGAGTGTGTTTCGAATCAATACACTAGACGGGTTACCTGCATAAATCCCTTCAAGCATCGTAAAAGCTAAAAGACTGTTAAAGAACCAGAGATAGGATAAACCAAACCCTCGATAAAAGGTTTCCTTGTTTCTGTAATATGAATAAAAGGCATCGAGAGAGAGAGAGAGAGAGAGAGAGAGGAGTATCTAGGTCAAATTAGACAGTGACAGATAATAAATTGCATAGTAAGAAGCCCTGGGTGTGAAAAAATACCTTGGAGCTGAGGAGATTAAAGTCTTGTTTCTATCTTTGCCTCAACCTCCACCTGAAAATCGTCAAATTTCATACACAATACAGGTCTTAATAACCGATTAAATTCAAAGATCACCGGTTGAAAGCGTTAACCGGTGGGAGAGACGGTTAAGGTGTCATCTCGAGATTCATCAGATCCTCACATGATCATTTCCCAAAGGCCCCGGTTTCTATGCGTCCAAGCCCGCGTATGTAGAAATACGGACCAATTGATAAATCTATTTTTGAAATAGATTTTTGGACTTAATTTTTAAAGACATGTAATCTCAAACTTAGTGAAAATCATGAATATAAATAAGTAAATAAATTTTAAAAATTAAAAATAATAATTCTAGTAAGAAAACATTTGAACCGTTGGTTTTCATTGGTTTTAGATGGAGCACGTAGATGCTTTACACGTTTTGGACCGCATATGTAGTGATTTGTCCAGCCCGCATGAAACAATTTTCCTTTCCCAAAATATTAGTAGATTTTTTAAACAGAATAAATTACCCCAATAAACAAAATTTAGTGCCGAAAATGGCTTAGATTTGGTCTTTTTCCCGGTAATAGGGCTGGTAAAGGGCCCGCTTGGGTGAGGCCGACCTATTCTGGCTCTATTCCCCTAAGGGCCAGCCCAAGCCCAGACTAGGCCGTAGCCCTATCCAAGCCAAGCTGGACTAAATAAGATTGTAAATATATAATGAAAAATGAATTAAAAAATAAAGATTGGGCCGAGCCAAGGGGTGGCTTGGCCGAGCCCTCGGGTGGGTCAAGCCCTATTTTTTGGGGCCCGGGCCAGGGCCATTGTCTGGGAAGAACCTTGAAGAAATGCATCGCTTCCAAGTTCGGACATAAAGGATCTATAGGTGACAAGGATATATGTCTAAGCTTTCTATGAAATTATTGAAATACCTTTGACATGTGTCCCATAAATAGCGAAGCGATATTGAAAACCGTTTCGACTCGGTACATTTCCAAAGGACTTGCAAAATTATCAGGGTTAGGGTTTAAGTTGATGTGAAACTTCTCTCCAATTCGTGCTTTGGCATTCAGTTCGTGGGGAAGTTATTTCCTAAAGAGAGTCACACACATTAGATGGTCTGCCAACAACCATGGGAAGGCGGGTGCATGCGCTTACCGACTTTCTCATGAATCAAACATCAAAAGCGGGGACTAAAATAACGAAACCGATGTAAGATTTTTAAAAAGAGTAAAGAAATTTGAATTTGGTTGATGAGCTCGCCTGTACATCAACCAGAGAAGAGAGTTGGTGCAGAATTCGTGCGACTTCATGAATTGAAGCCTACTTATTCGTCAAACATGACTGATTAAGGAAATTTTTTATGGCCTTTTTTTCATTCTTGCCTATGAAGGCATGGCCAGCATACTGCTGCCGACACATTCAAACAGGACTCTAGTATATGACGCCGTTTCGATTCTACGTAAACATAATAGCGTTAACTTGTTACGCCCCTATAGCATACATTTGAGGGAGAAAGAACTTTAGGTCCTGTTTGCACTAACCAACTTTACCTATTAGGGTTTCTCACCTCCACCTAGTGTTCGTAAAACTGGCCGGTTAGATTGCTCGTGGTGGGGTGGCGATTCCAGTTAGGGCTGGTTTTGCCGTATACATGGTAAGACGGAACTCTGCAATGTCGAACCGGCAGTTTTTTTTCAAAACCAACTGGTTTTCCTAACCCGTCCGGTTTATTGTTGTTTTCGTGCGTTATAACACCGTTATGACACATTAAATAATAACTGTTATTAAACACATGCCCGTTATTTTCATAGATCAAGATTTTGCAGCTTTTTTTCTTCCATTTTGTAGTTTTTTTAGTTAAATATTGATGTTATACACCGTAAAGTTTCTATAGATTATCTATTATTGAATCAAAAGTCGAAAAACAAAGAGTTCTTGGCGGATTGAAATGGGGATTTTGAAAATTAGAAATTTCTACCATTCTATCAAATGCAGCTTTAATACCTCATAGATTTTCAAAAAAATGGAGGGCTTTGATTGATTGTTGAAGGATTCAATGTTTGCATATTTCAAATTTACCAAAACGATGAAGATTTGAGCTTTTTTTGGGCCCGAAGTACTACTACTCGAAGAACTGTTTTTATCCAAACAAATTGATTTCTGATCGATCAATTGATCGATTTTTATCAAATTAATCACTGAAGTTTAATCATAAAGTGTCCTTATCTATCAAATAAACTAGCTATTTTGATTTACTATTGATTAAAAAATTTTATATCAATTTTTTTTTGCAGCGTTTTTTCCTGAAATTATCGTGAAGTAAAAAATTTGCAATTTTTTGAACAAAGATCTCAATAGTGAATAAGTTTTCATGAAATTTGGAGCATTTGAATCTTAATTGAAGTATCGATCATATCCCCATATCAATTTGTTCAAAAAATGAAAGATCTGGGGTTGATTTCGACTCTAAAGTTTTTGTATTCTTTGACTCGATTTTAGGGTTCTAAAAACATTTTTTTTTTAAATAAAATTACGTTTTGTTTTTATAAAAATATGAAATTTGTGATGAATATGAGAAACAAATAATATCTTCTTTTT